GTATAATATATATATATATATATATATATATAATTTATAAAAGCAAGAATATATACAGTCGAACCTTCAACAACGGCCACCTGATACGTATACAAAATAACCTCCAAACAATGACCACTTTTTATGTTCTCATCAGTGCCATTGTTCAGAGGTTTAACCGTATATGTTTACACGCATTTAATGCGTATTTAAATACTATGATCATCTCATATTGTTGAATACAACAAGAATGTGCTCCACTGCTTGATAACCGTGAAAAAGATATGGCTCCACTGTACCAAGAGTTTTATGGATAACAGAGAAGGGCAAATATTAAAATTTTACTAATTTACCAGCATTAAAATAAAAAAAAAAAACACCGAGAGGTTAATACTGAATATATTGTTAGAAAAGATTAAAGATAAGAAGTAATCTGATAATATATTTTGCTATTGATGTTCTAATAAATTGTTAATTTAAAATACCTATATATATGTATCAATTTCCCTCTTGTTTCTTTATTATAATCATGCCACTTCGAGTAATCAATTGAATTAATGTAATTTATATGTTAATGATACCGTTAGATAATAATTACACCAGTTTTATAAAACCTGTCAAAAATTCCATTAAATTACAGTATAAGAATCGAATCGGTTTATGAAAAGTGTCAGAATTATTAAACATTTAATAAATTCTGCTGTTTTTTGTAAATAAACGTTTGTATCTTAATATATATATATATATAGCCTATATATATTTAAAATATATTTTAGCGTATGTCTATAGTATTGTTTTGAATTCTCTCATGCGATAACTTAAAGTATTCTCTTATTTAGAATATAATAGATTTTTGTTTGCATAACAGCATAATAAAAAAGCACGTACAGGTACTTTACTCTTTTTCAAACCCTTTTTTACTTTCTACCTCCGAATAAAGTAGCAATCTAAATTTATACAATAATGAATTTATTATATATATATATATATATATATATATTTAATAGAAGTATAAGAAAATGAAGTAGTCGTTATTTTCTATATAGAGAGTGACATTTAAGAATAAGATATAATTTTAATTTCTTCGAAGAGAATTAAACTTTACAATTCGTTCATAATTTTAAAAAATGTATTGTATATTTTATAATTAGTTCTTGTTATATTTCATTTATTTAAATAATTTATATTTATATTAACCATTTTCTTGGATTTAAAAATTTGAGGTGGTAAAATTGTATTGTAGTATTGTAATTTAAGAGCAATTTTAAAAAATGACTATAGAAAAATAGATAATTGTTTATGAAAAACCCAACTATTAGTTTATCCCCATAAAATGTAAAATTCTGTTCGTTTATACATAATTTAGTGCTTTGTTATTGAAAGAAATAATGCAATAAATGAAAATGTAATAATAATAAATTGTAAAGTCACGATGATAATGGGAAAATCTCGTTTCTTCACTGAATAACAGAATATTCATGTCTTTCTCATACCCTTAAATATATTTATTCATTCGGATTACATTTATCTTTAAACTCTAAATTGGATTTTCTATTTATCATGATCAATTGTGTGTGTACCAGTAGAATTAAAATACTCA